AATTCTATACAATGGAAGGAGACTGCGACCATAAAAAAGACCACACCATCTTGGTCTTCATACTTTCAAGAAATCTATTTTTCTCTGAATGGGAAAAAGTCGACTATCTGCCCTTTACCACAACTCTTATGCGAGGATAATGTTCTTTTGCCGGTTTTTGTCGCTACAAGATAAGATTTTTATCGTGGCACGACGAGAAGAGTATAAAAACAGCTTGTGGCTCCCAGTCCTACGCAAAGGGCCATATTTGTGAAGTATTTTCATACAGTTCAGTCGTGCTGAAAGTGATGTTGCTCATTCCTAGACAATGGGGGGAAGATCTCAAAACATGTAAATAGCCACTTGATCAGCATCAAGCCGGAGCGTGACCATGAACGAGTCTACATTCGACAGTGTTACTGACATACAGACATGCCGGCAGGTGAGCGGGCGTGCCTGATTTTCACCAAATTCTCTTGATTAATTAACCTCGGAGGCCTTGTGGTGGTATCCTTTCAGATCGGCTGAATGTAAAGAGAGCATCGTCCTTTTGGCGCCAGAGTGGCCTGTACCACATGGCCGTAACATGGGCCTAATCACCCTCGAGCCAATCGATGCGAGAGCAAAGTGTGCTGTGATTTCTGTACCTTTTTCTGCATTTATTTGTGTTTTTGTGTCTGTCCACTAGTGCTATCACACGAGCCGATACATATTCAGTTTGGTCATTTCGTTTTTCCCTCTCGGCCGGGCTTAGACCCGCCAGTGAAAGCCCACTGTTGAGCCCTGATTTGTTTTGTTTTGTTTATCTCGGCCAGATGTGCCGTCTCCGGCGTTAGACACATCGTTCTCCCATTTTTGCCCTGAGCTGGCTAATCTTGAGATTGTTACAGTCAACCAAGAGGTTCAGTCAGCCAGGACGTTGGAGCGGCTGCAAAGACTGCAGGACTCTCTTGCTGCACCTCCTTTTTCGGCTGTATCTATACCTTCATCCAACCGCCCATTCCTTATTATTCTGTATGTCGGTCTCCACAACCAGTGCTCTATCTACACATACCTCGTCCCGACGCCCACAGAAGTGGTTCTCTGTATTGTGCTTTAGGAAATCGCTCTCACCCAATTGGCTCAACAGGGGAAATCTTGACGAGCAGAATGGCACAAATGACCGATTTTGTCAATTCAGTCTGCCAATCGACACACCACAAGGTAGACAGCTTAGTGCCATTTGAGAACCAGATGGCACCCAGAATGATACACTCTCGGGAAAGATTGGAGCAAGCAAATATACAGATTGGAAAACAAACCACACCCTCTGGGTCTTCATATCTACGACGTGCATTCCAGCTCTCTGTCAAATTGCTGACGTCTCATGCTTATGCTTCTTCACCTGATTAGGTCGTCGACAACGTCTGTCGTGTCATCTTTAGTGAGTGCTCCTAATGATGGTAAACTCTTCGCTGAGTTTATTGTGGCTGACACTGCCATCCCTAAGGCTACTTTGGCTGCTCACATTGCATTTTCCGTCTCCACCGCTACTATTTCTGTCCAAGTGATGGATAACTTTATGTTTGCCGCTCTTACTTTGGTTGTAACTGACACGTAAAGCTCTGCTGAATCGTGAGATGCTTCATGGTATTTTGCCGATTTCGTCGCAATTAATCGGGTCACATTCGCAGAACTCAATAATAATATAAGATGTATTCACACTATTTCGTTTAAGGTGATGAAGGACTGGTAGTCGAATTTTCCAACAATGATATAAGTAAAGCTGACGCATCCATTGAATTTCACAGAGCCTTGATCTTCCAAAAGTTGTTCTCATCCAGACAGAAGTGGACTGCAGTTTCGACCTCGCATCGGTCTTATCAACATCCCCAACGGGAGTCGAACCGTAACAGTTCAGAATGGGAGATTGACACGTCAACCAGTTTGAATGAAAACAACTTTTGGGAAATTCAATGGAAACGTCAGCTCTAATCATATCATTGTGGGAAAATTCTACTGCCAGTCCATTATCACCTTAAACTAAATTAGGTGAATACATCTCTTATTACTGATTTACTGGTAGTCTCGAAACAACACTTAAATGCGATCAATAATAATACTAACAATAATATAATATTACCACCAACACTACTAATAAAAATGCTAATAATACTAACAATACCAATGCCAATACTAATGATATTATTATTAATAACAACAATACGAAGAAAAACAATATTAGTAATAACTACTAATATTACTACCACTATTACTACAAATAATTTTATCAACATTAATAATAATACTACTACAAATAGTAATACTAGCACGAATAATATTAATACTACTTTTACCACTACTACTAATAATAATAACAACAACAATAATAATAATAATAATAATAATGGTTTTGGTGCAGATACAAATTTAGCTACAAAAATTGCAATGCCTACTAGTCATAGCTGGTTGACCTAAACAAACCCACGTTGAGGACCTTGCTTGTGTTGCTATTACTACCAATTAACAGCAATTTATATCCGTACCCTACATTTGGAGGCAAGCCTCGTCCAAGTCGAGTCATAAAGTAAAAGGAAATTCCTTCATTAAGAGTACTAACCAAGGTTCCACTTCCTAATTGATATAAAAGTGTGATGGTAACAGGTCTCCTACGTCGAGCAGCAAATTGTATTAAAAAACTTCCTGATCTTGCTAAGTAATTAATTCATTCATACCGTGGCAACAGAACATCTATAGGCGGGTTCTACGCTATTACCTCTATCAATCGTTTTCACGGTAGATAACTTTTACAAGCCAATTGAAAAATATGTGCATATAGAAAGTCTCGTTACTGCTTTCAGGGTCATGGAAGTATACCCAAATTTTGCATCTTTCTTAGTCTGAACTCACTTCATCTAGTATCTAAGACTTCGCAACGTCTTGGGATTGGAAGCTGATAAAATAATAATTTTTCTCCTTAAGAAACCAAAAAGTTTTGGGGATACATCCAACTGATTCAGTAACCACGTTGACATATTCTGCGCCTTGGAGCAAACGCAACCGACGAAGGTGCCTCTTGCAGGGGTGATTTTTATTTAATTAATCCTACTACTTACTAGATAGACTAGATAGTATGAAAGTCTAGATTTATTTCAGGCATGGGCTACTAGAAATTTGCTCTTACTATCCTTCAAACCACTATCTCAGGTGCTCAACAAGCGGATGTTTTATCCACTTTGTCCTCAGATCTCATTCAAACTCTTGTCCGTTTTTTATTTGTATATTGTTACCAATTGGCAGGAGAAGTCGTGATGCCGGCAAACGATATTTCCCAAATCCCCTGTCGCGTTTGCGGGGCGAAATCGTCAGGCTTCCACTTCGGAGCAATAACTTGCGAAGGATGCAAGGTGGGTCAAATTATGCTCTTGCAGGTTGTCATGAGATTGCTATGGCATTTGATGGAAAAGCCAAGATTTGATTAATTTGTGTCATTTGTAACTAAAGCATGCTTTTATTTCTTGTGACATTTTTGCTTGGGAGTTTGGGTTAGCAAGAACTGGTCTTGTTCGAACAAAAGGCCCGCCTTAGCTCACCTTGTGTGACGGTATTTTATAAACCAAGTGTAGTTCAATACCTTGGCAACGGACAAAATTACATCATATTTCATTCTGGGTAGTCTGAGTCTACCTTTGTATTTGTAGAATTCCAGTCCCCTTTACGGCGAACATTTAGTTGACATACCCTAACAGCCTATCAGGCTACCAGAAAATGAACTTCGTCACTTCAAGTAACCATTCAAAGACAAATAAGTAGAGTCTAAGAGTGTTTTTATCTATACTTTATAACCCATAGACTCAAGAGCTGTAGCATTTACTTGTAGCTACTAGATTTAAATTATTGGTCAGCTCCTCTGTTAATTATGCTTCAATTCAAACTCCAGCTTTTGAGGAGACACATGAGAATTTGCAGCGGAAAGCACAGGAAGGCCATCCAGATTAAATCTCTTCTATTGAGTCCTTCAGAGGTTTCACCACCGAGGTGACATGTCACAATAGATGAGCTCCAGCAAAGGATACAAATATAAAAATTCGGTCTTATATTAGCGCATGATTAAACAGTTTAGTTAGAAGGAAGTTCAACTTGATCCATTTTGAAGCTATTGTCTACTCTTATTGCCTCGACCACACGATTTTCAATCGAATCATCTTTATATGAATTGTATTCACCCTATTTCGTTTAAGGCAATGAAGGACTTGTAGTTCATTTTCTTCACAATGATATGAGTTGAGCTGATGTTTTCCATTGAATTTTAGCATAGCCTTGCTTTCCCAAAAGGTATTCTTGTCCGGGATGGATTGCAGTTG